AGGTCTGTGAGAGCCAGAAATCTTGCTTGTTTGTAGGTGACCAAATACTTATTTTCCACCATAATTTGCAAATAAATTCATAAAAAATCCTACAATGTGATTTTCTGGATTTTTTTTTCTTAATTTGTTTGTCATAGTTGACGTGTACCTATGATGAAAATTACAGGCCTCTCATCTTTTTAAGTGGGAGAACTTGCACAATTGGTGGCTGACTAAATACTTTTTTTCCCCACTTTATGTATAACTGTATGAGCTGGATTGCCTGTCTTTGCAATTCGTTTATTTTCATTTGCGCTAGTTAGCATATTTAGCTGGTAACCTCCATGGATATAAGCTATTAATTGTGCTAATTGACGCCCAGTGGGCTTTTTTAGTGTTTTTTTGGTCGCCTCCTTGTGTAGTAAGCCGATAATACTGTAAATTCGCTATTGATTGTGCTAATTGACGCCCAGTGGGCTTTTTAGTGTTTTTGGGCGCCTCCTTGTGTAGTAAGCCGGTAATACTGTAAATCCTGGGATGAGAGGAGGACGGTATGACTATGAAAATCTGGATACCATCCAACACTCATTTTAATACTTAAATGATAGAATAACACTATTTTACCAAGATAGAACACATTATCAAATGCATTAAGAAATGTATTATGATCATCAGAGAAATTATTCATCACTGAACAACGATGTGACATTTTACTTGAAGATTTCTAACTGTTTTGCTTTCATGCCATTATTGCTAGCTAGACTAGCATAGACCATTCTTGGAGGGAGATGGCAAAGACATGTTCTGATTGGTCCGTCGGTATTTGTTCAGGCTTGGATTGGATTGCAGATAGAACCTTATAGCACCAAGTTCAAATGGGTTTATGGAGAAAGACTTTCTAGTTTTTCACTTAAAATGTACTTTAAAAAAAAATCTATCTTCACAGACATGAAGAACCATCTAAAGATCTATTATGTGACTAACTCATTTTTGACAAAAATGTCAGATGGAAACTTATAGTCCCAAAGTCTCGATTTGTAGTTGAACAAGTTTATTTTTTACTCGACTTGACTTGCTCTTAGAATGCACGACTTGGACTTTGTTCGAGACTACCCCGTTCTACTTGTACTCGACTTAAGTCTCGGACCTTGTGACTTGACACTTGCTTCTGACTCAAACAATAGTGACTTGGTCCCACCTCTGCTAGATTCCATAGCCACAAAATCAGATTCTTGCGGATGACATCATTACTTTCTTATAGAGACAGTGCACACTTTTATAAAAGAGATTGCTTCTTCTATGCAAATGTGGTTGATCAATATAATAAAATGTTATCCTAGCAATTGCCAATAAAATAAGTCCTAAATGGAAGGGATTGTTGGTAATCTGTAGCCCCATGAAATCCGCTAAAACAAGCTCAATAACTCAATGCATCCACACACTCTTATTGAATAATATGCATTTACCTGTATTATGAGTAAACCTAGGCTACATCTTGATTTACCGAGTTTATCAATAGAAATTTCCCATTCAAGTAAGTGATTACTATTATGCTTTGTAGTTAGATTGGTAAAAAGTCAAATTGGTTGTATAATTGATTCATTAATGCATATATGGCTGACTCAAAAAACATTTTTGAACGCGCATTTCACAATCTTGCATAATGGTAGCCTGCTTTACATTGGAGATTTGGTTCTAGGTCGATTTTTAAGCATTTTGAACAAAGATGTTTGGGAGCCAAATGAGCCGGCTCACTGAAAAGACTCGGAATGCCTATAACTATTGTATTGACATTCCCAGCCTTAGTTACAGCCGTCCGTTTTTGTCAAATATTGAGCCATTGAAATTAAACAGTGCATCCCGAATGGGTGGAGGCAGCAAACAATGTACATTTGACATTTTAGTAATTTAGCTGACACTCTTATCCAGAGCGACTTACAGTTAGAGTGCATACATTACAGTTAGAGTGCATACATATTTTATTTTATTTTTTTATGCTGGCCCCCCGTGGGAACAGCTGTGTACCAGGACAGCTGTGATTTACAACCTGATAGCAATATTTTTTGGACTACCAAGAAATGTATTGGTCAATTATATTAATCATGCATTGAACTGCATCCATCTATTCTGCTAACAATGCCTAAGAGCCAATTTATGCTTGATCCGATAATGTAGTCAGAGGCTCCGTATGGAAGATGTGACGCAATTGCGGAGCCTCCGGAGGCATGCAGAGGCCAAATTGATCTCCGTACCGCATCGCTGTGCGCCTCCCAAATTTTGTAACAATGCGGAGGGCTCTGTATAGCTCCGCATTGACATGATTGGTTGACAGAAGGTGGGGCGGGAGTTCCTGTATAAACTCAAGCTCACTTCCTTAACAACAGCTCTGCGCTGCTCCACAATGCACAAGAAGTATGAATGCCCTGACTTCTGCAGAGGCCGTGTCACCATAAATGTATTGACCATGCACCACCTTTTACTCTACACAATGGCATTGAGTCAAATATAACCGTATACAGTGAGGGGAAAAAAGTATTTGATCCCCTGCTGAGTTTGCCCACTGACAAAGAAATGATCAGTCTATAATTTTAATGGTAGGTTTATTTGAACAGTGAGAGACAGAATAACAACAACAAAAATCCAGAAAAACGCATGTCAAAAATATTATACATTGATTTGCATTTTAATGAGGGAAATAAGTATTTGACCCCCTCTCAATCAGAAAGATTTCTGGCTCCCAGGTGTCTTTTATACAGGTAATGAGCTGAGATTAGGAGCACACTCTTAAAGGGAGTGCTCCTAATCTCAGCTTGTTACCTGTATAAAAGACATGTCACAGAAGCAATCAATCAATCAGATTCCAAACTCTCCACCATGGCCAAGACCAAAGAGCTCTCCAAGGATGTCAGGGACAAGATTGTAGACCTACACAAGGCTGGAATGGGCTACAAGACCATCACCAAGCAGCTTGGTGAGAAGGTGACAACAGTTGGTGTGATTATTCGCAAATGGAAGAAACACAAAATAACTGTAAATCTCCCTCGGACTTGGGCTCCATGCAAGATCTCACCTCGTGGAGTTCAATGATCATGAGAACGGTGAGGAATCAGCCCAGAACTACACGGGAGGATCTTGTCAATGATCTCAAGGCAGCTGGGACCATAGTCACCAAGAAAACAATTGGTAACACACTACGCCATGAAGGACTGAAATCCTGCAGCGCCCGCAAGGTCCCCCTGCTCAAGAAATCACATATAATAATAATAATAATAATATACATGCCCATCTGAAGTTTGCCAATGAACATCTGAATGATTCAGAGGAGAACTGGGTGAAAGTGTTGTGGTCAGATGAGACCAAAATGGAGCTCTTTGGCATCAACTCAACTGGCCGTGTTTGGAGGAGGAGGAATGCTGCCTATGACCCCAAGAACACCATCCCCACCGTCAAACATGGAGGTGGAAACATTATGCTTTGGGGGTGTTTTTCTGCTAAGGGGACAGGACATCTTCACCGCATCAAAGGGACGATGGACGGGGCCATGTACCGTCTATTCTTGGGTTAGATCCTCCTTCCCTCAGCCAGGGCATTGAAAATGGGTTGTGGATGGGTATTCCAGCATGACAATGAACCAAAACACACGGCCAAGGCAACAAAGGAGTGGCTCAAGAAGTGGCACATTAAGGTCCTGGAGTGGCCTAGCCAGTCTCCAGACCTTAATCCCATAGAAAATCTGTGTAGGGAGCTGAAGGTTCGAGTTGCCAAACGTCAGCCTCAACCTTAATGACTTGGAGAAGATCTGCAAAGAGGAGTGGGACAAAATCCCTCCAGAGATGTGTGCAAACCTGGTGGCCAACTACAAGAATTGTCTGACCTCTGTGATTGCCAACAAGGGTTTTGCCACCAAGTACTAAGTCATGTTTTGTAGAGGGGTCAAATACTTATTTCCCTCATTAAAATGCAAATCAGTTTATAACATTTTTGACATGCGTTTTTCTGGATTTTTTGTTGTTATTCTGTCTCTCTATGTTCAAATAAACCTACCATTAAAATGATAGACTGATCATTTTTTTTTTGTCAGTGGGCAAACGTACAAAATCAGCAGGGGATCAAATACTTTTTTCCCTCACTGTAACCTTGTCAGGTATGCACAAATACGATATACTGTAACATTCAAAATGGGTGAATCTTTCCTTTAATTAACTGCAGTCAGAAGACCAAGCTATGGCAGGTGATGATGGCTTAAAAAGAAAATACGATTATGGTAAAATATTTCCATTTGCTGACAGCATTTATTTTTTTACAATTATCTCCAACGGGAGACCTGGCCTGCTTTGTTGGGGTAGAACTGAGCACTTGCTCAGACATTTTGAATGTGGCATTGTTTACCAGTAGCAGGTGAAATGTAGCCTATCCACTTTCTATTATAAGTGATTTGATATACTGTAGCAAGCTTGGATATACTCATCTTCTTTTGGTTGTAACCTTTGGGTTAGAAAGACCCGAAAGATAACCTAATTGCTTGAAAATGTAATTGAATGACTACAGATTGGGTACTTTGTGAGCTACTTGAACACGGTTAGTGAATGTGTGTCAGCGTAATAAAAGCAGATGTAAGCTGTACTGTGCAGGGCTATTGATTTGCACTGTCCGATATCAGTACATCTTACTGTGAAGCATCCCATCCATTCAACTAATTGTCATTACTCATGCATGTTCCTGTTTTTGTGGCAAGATTTCTTTCTTGACTCTCAAACTCCTACAGATATTTCCTCAGTCTCATTTTTGCTCCTTGCTAAAGAGTACTTATTATGAGAAATTGCCTTTTTGTCACTGCCTCTCTGGGTGAAGCCAATCTGCAGAGACAGCCAGTGCCAAGAAAGAATCCCCCCCCCATCCCCCATCTCCCCCTCTCCTCTAACTATGACATGTGATCGTCACTGACTGTTGCTTTTGTTCCTGTGAATCTAACATACAGTACTTTCTGTGTCCACATTTGCAGACGGCAACGCCAAACTAACATGGCAGTCAGACTGTGTGATGTGGCTTCTCTGCTTAGAAGTGGTTCGTGGGCGGCAGAGCCTTGGACTGGGGTCGGTGGCAATTTTAATTGAATTCATTTGGCCAATAATGCTCATTGTCTCAGGCCATACCAATGACTAGGTCTCACCAACTTTGGATGCGTTTAAATCTTTTATTTGCCAGAACAGTCTTTCTGTTCAATATTAGGCTAATGTACTGTGATTTTTTTTCATTTTGGGTACGAAATACTCCAAGTAGTCTGTCTGCATTGGTATGGTCTAAAACGGTGTATTGCCACTTTGATTATAACTGTCTGAATGCATGCAATTTGTATGTAGTATAGCACCTCTTAGCACTTAACTTTTATCTAGCCTAAATGAATGACTATTCAGTTAGTTCTTGAATGAAACTGATGAATTGTGCTGCCTCTGACTGGACATGTTTGAGTAAGGATATCTTCATACTTGTTGGGAGATGCATCAAATTGTAGCTTTGTAGGATACATTTACAGAGCCTATCCCCTTATGCCTTTGTTTTGTAGTGCCAGAATTCCCACGGTTGTTGCCTAGCCTAGTTTCATTCTTAAATCTTTGTCTTCACAACACTTGAATGATGCCACTGTGGAGTAGGCCTACTGGATTTCACCCAGTTTGCCTTTGAAAGATCTTTATATAAATGCAACAGAGCAGTGCATCTTCTCACTTTAGTTGATCAGTGTTTGTTTTCTGCCATCTTGACATCAGCAATTAAATTTAATACCGTATTTTCCGCACTATAAGGCGCACTTAAAAGCCTTTAATTTTCTCAAAAAACGACAGTGCGCCTTATAATCCGGAGCGCCTTATATGGATCAATTGGTTAATTGGTTGATCCATACTGGTTGTACACGGCGCTCAAGGCGCTCTGTCAAAATGTTTCAGTATGAAAAACCAATAAAAACAATTGAATAATAATGAAATGTTTCAGTACGACTGGTAAACTACAAAGCCGCACCACTTGCAGCATTACGGCTACCGTAGTCAGTAAACACCGGTACTGTGGTTACTCACAGTCCCACACCACTTGTGTGTGTATAAAGACCCCAAAATGGCACCTTTCAAGAGACACGCTTACGACGCAGAGTTCAAGCTCAAGGCTGTCGGTCACGCAGTAGAATATGGGAATAGAGCAGCAGCGAGAGAATTCAACATTAATTAATCAATGGTACGGAAGTGGAGGAAGCAAGAAGATGACCTGCGCCAAGTAAGGAAGACTAAACAAAGTTTCCGTTCAATTCGGACACTGAAGAAGAAGAATTCGAGGGATTTGTGGACGGGGAAAGCTTTACGTGTTATACGTAACTGAACAATGTTGAGTTATGCACTAACGTTTGATTTAGTGGTATCAGACTGTTTCTTTTACTACGTGTTTACTGAATCAGGGAAAAGTTCCCCTCCACGTTTGGGAGAAGAGTGAGCAAGGCTGGGAGATATTGTTAATATGCACATTAACGTTTGAGCAACGTTACCATGGGAGTGAACGGAGTTGTCAGAACGCTTAATAAAGTTTGACTTTATCTGACTGTTTTGTTGACATTCCCTTTAGCACACCTCCATCTAGTGGATGCATAACGCAACCCCAGTCAAACGTTTGACTTCAGTATCTTCTATTCTATCCGCTTTATAATCCGGTGCGCCCTATATATGAAAACAGTTCTAAAATAGGCCATTCATTGAAGGTGCGCCTTATAATCCGGTGCGCCTTATAGTGCGGAAAATACGGTAGTTTATTTTCTCATTATCCTCTTAAGAGGAAAGGACAACTGCCTGCAGGAGCAGTAACCATGTTGGTGTCCCTTTCTTTTGCATGACAGTGCAGACTTAACACATCTCAAAATTGCACACCTATTCAAAGGTAGTCTGCTCACCTCCGACTCATATTTGAGAGGATAGGCTAGTATAAAAAAAATTCTGGACCGGGCCAACTGAACTGAAGCTTGTCATGCTTTGGGTCTTTTTTCATGGTCCCATCCCTGTGAGAATGAAGGGAGAAATTATTTTGCTAAAAGCAGCCTGAAAGTTTATTTCACCTCAGCTATAGTCTCAGGAGAAGTGTAATTATATAATGTATGTTGCAATTCACTGGTCTGGGAGGGCTGTATTCTCAAAGGTATTGTATAATTAGGCCTAATGGTAATAATCTATAATACTCAATGATAACTAGCATATTGTTCAATATCCTTTATAATAGTTTTTCTCACACTAATAGGCTACACATAGTTGGTGTTCATTTCATTTAATTCTGTTGAGAATTTTATGTTTCAGGTCAGTCTGACCTTACTCTTCCCAAAAGCGAGAGACTGTAATCTTGATAAAATGGTGTCATGGAATGGCTTCAGTTAATTGTGAAGAGCATCCTTTTTAACTATCCAATTTTGGTCTGCTTCATGTTTGATGTATTAGCATGTGGTCCTGACTTGACTTTTCTATCTCTTTAGCAGGTTATTGCTGCCATGGAAACACAGCTGTCCAATGGGCCCACTTGCAACAACACAAGCAATGGTCCCTCAACAATCTCAAACAACTGCTCCTCTCCGGTAGAGTCAGGGAATATAGAGGACAGTAAAACTAACTTGATAGTCAACTACTTGCCTCAGAACATGACCCAAGAAGAGCTCAAGAGTTTGTTTGGGAGCATCGGGGAAATCGAGTCCTGTAAATTAGTTCGAGACAAAATAACAGGTAAGGTATGCAGATGCCATTGAATTGTTGACAGAAGTAATTTTAGTCATTTTGTAAAGTTGTGCCAAGAAATTGCATGTTTTTTGGGTGTTTTTTTGCATATCAGTTGAGACCACAGACGTGGTGGTTTATGGGTGGATCACATAGGCATTTGTCTCTATTGCATTCATATTTTTGTTTCTTAGCCTGATGCCTTTGATCTCCAGTGTGTTTTTTATATATATTTTTTCCCCCAATTTAAATCATGGTTCTTGCTTTTTAAGATTATATTTAGTGAGGTGAAAAAGGCTCTCACTGAGAGAATCCATTCACTTGACAGGTGTGGCATATCAAGAAGCTGATTAAACAGCATAATCATTACACAGGTGCACCTTGTGCTGGGGAAAATAAAAGGCCACTCTAAAATGTGAAGGTGTGTCAAACAACACAATGCCACAGATGTCTAAAGTTTTGAGGAAGCGTGAAATTGTCATGCTGACTGCAGGAATGTCCACCAGAGATGTTGCCAGATAATTTAATGTTAATTCCTCTAACATAAGTCATTTTAGAAAATGTGGCCTCAAAACCGCAGACCACGTGTTAATACGCCAGCCCAGGACCTCCACATTCGGCTTCTTCACCTGCGGGATCGTCTGAGACCAGCCACCCGGACAGCTGATGAAACTGAGGAGTATTTTTGTCTGTAATAAAGCCCTTTTGTGGGGGAAAAACATATTCTTGATTGGCTGGGCCTGGCTCCCACGTGGGTCGGCCTATATCCTCCCAGGCAAACCCATGGCGGCGCCCCTGCCCAGTCATGTGAAATCCATAGATTAGGGCCTAATGCATTTCTTTCAATTGACCGATTTCGTTATATGAACTGTAACTCCGTAATATCGTTGTACGTGTTGCGTTTATATTTTTGTTCAGTATAGATGGCATCTCGAAGTGAAACACATTATGAAACGTTCCCAGCAGCAAGTCAGATTGACTTACTCTGAGTTCTGATTGAATTGTTAAATATTACTGGTTTAATCTGTTCTTTTAAATACGGCTTGCTCATGTCAACCACCATGCCACAAGCAAACGAGCAATGCCAAAAGAGCGTAAACCCTTTGAGTATCTTAAACCCTTAGCCTAGAATTTCCGTGGCCCCTCGGAAATCTAATTAACATAATAAAACGATCCCCATCAATCTGGCTAAGGTAGAAATGTTTTTTTGCATGGGCTGCGTCTCAATCCACCGCATCTGCCGATATATCGCCCTTCCGCATCTGCAGTGGAAGGTGGCAGCGCTAGAGTAGTACTTGTCAGACCATGAGACATCCCGAAAATCGGTGGTCTCACGAAAACATATATAGCGTCCGAACGGTTTGGCCTACAAACATGCAACTCTCACGAACACAATGGTGTTCTCCGTTTTGCTCTACGACCCCCACAAGACTCGTCTGAAGTTGGTACAGCCTCTTCTACCAACTTCTGTCTGTAGCGTCCGAACGGTTTGGGCTACACACTATTATGATCCCTCTGTGGAAAGCGGTGACTCTCACGAACACGATGGTGTTCTCCATCTGAAGGTCCCCTGTTACCAGTTTAAAAAAATTAATGGAAGTACACTATATGGCCAAAAGTATGTGGGCATCCCCTTCAAATGAGTGGATTTGGCTATTTCAGCGACACCCGCTGCTGACAGGTGTATACAATTGAGTACACAGCCATGCAATCTCCATAGACAAAACACTCGCAGTAGAATGGCCTGTACTGCAGAGCTCAGTGACTTTCAACGTGGCACTGTCATAGGATGCCACCTTTCCAACAAGTCAGTTTGTCAAATTTATGCCCTGCTAGAGCTGCCCCGGTCTGTTATTGTGAAGTGGAAATGTCTAGGTGCAACAACGGCTCAGCCGCGAAGTGGTAGGCCACACAAGCTCACAGAACGGGATCGCCAAGTGCTGAAGCGTGTAGGGCGGAAAAAGTCTGTCCTCGTTTGTGACACTCACTACAGAGTTCCAAACTGCCTCTGGAAGCAACATCAGCACAATAACTTTGTCGGGATCAAATCAAATTTTATTTGCCACATGCGCCGAATACAACAGGCGTAGACATTATAGTGAAATGCTTACTTACAGCCCTTAACCAACAATGCATTTATCTTTTTATAAAAAAGGAAAATAAAACAACAAAGTGTTGAAGAAAAAAGCAGAAGTAAAATAAAATAACAGTAGGGAGGCTATATATACAGGGGGGTACCGGCTAGTTGACGTAATATGTACATGTGGGTAGAGTTAAAGTGACTATGCATAAATGAGTAGCAGCAGCATAAAAAGATGGGGTGGGGGTGGGGGGGGGGCAGTGCAAATAGTCCGGGTAGCCATGATTAGCTGTTCAGGAGTCTTATGGCTTGGGGTAGAAGCTGTTGAGAAGTCTTTTGGACCTAGACTTGGCACTCCGGTACCACTTGCCGTGCGGTAGCAGAGAGAACAGTCTATGACTAGGGTGGCTGGAGTCTTTGACAATTTTGAGGGCCTTCCTCTGACACCACCTGGTATAGAGGTCCTGGATGGCAGGAAGCTTGGACCCAGTGATGTACTGGGCCGTACGCACTACCCTCTGTAGTGCCTTGCGGTCGGAGGCCGAGCAGTTGCCATACCAGGCGTTGATGCAACCAGTCAGGATGCTCTCGATAGTGCAGCTGTAGAATTTTTTGAGGATCTGAGGACCCATGCCAAATCTTTTCAGTCTCCTGAGGGGGAATAGGCTTTGTCGTGCCCTCTTCACGACTGTCTTGGTGTGTTTGGACCATGATAGTTTGTTGGTGATGTGGACACCAAGGAACTTGAAGCTCTCATCCTGTTCCACTACAGCCCCGTCGATGAGAATGGGGGCGTGCTCTGTCCTCTTTTTTTCTTCCTGTAGTCCACAATCATCTCCTTTGTCTTGGTCGCATTGAGGGAGAGGGTGTTATCCTGGCACCACACGGCCAGGTCTCTGACCTCCTCCCTATAGGCTGTCTCATCGTTGTCTGTGATCAGGCCTACCACTGTTGTGTCGTCGGCAAACTTAATGATGGTGTTGGAGTCGTGCCTGGCCATGCAGTCATGGGTGAACAGGGAGTACCGGAGGGGACTGAGCACGCACGTGTTGAGGATCAGTGTGGCAGATGTGTTGTTACCTACCCTTACCACCTGGGGGCGGCCCGTCAGGAAGTCCAGGATCCAGTTGCAGAGGGAGGTGTTTAGTCTCAGGATCCTTAGCTTAGTGATGAGCTTTGAGGGCACTATACACACTCACAGTGAAGGGGAAAAAAGTATTTGATCCCCTGCTGATTTTGTACGTTTGCCCACTGACAAAGACATGATCGTCTATAAATTTAATGGTATATTTATTTGAACAGTGAGAGACAGAATAACAACAAAAAAATCCAGAAGAACGCATGTCAAAAATGTTATGAATTGATTTGCATTTTAATGAGGGAAATAAGTATTTGATCCCTCTGCAAAACATGACTTAGTACTTGGTGGCAATCACAGAGATCAGACATTTCTTGTAGTTGGCCACCAGGTTTGCACACATCTCAGGATGGATTTTGTTCCAGTCCTCTTTGTAGATCTTCTCCAAGTCATTAAGGTTTCGAGGCTGACGTTTGGCAACTCGAACCTTCAGCTCCCTCCACAGATTTTGTATGGGATTAAGGTCTGGAGACTGGCTAGGCCACTCCAGGACCTTAATGTGCTTCTTCTTGAGCCACTCCTTTGTTGCCTTGGCCGTGTGTTTTGGGTCATTGTCATGCTGGAATACTCATCCACGACCCATTTTCAATGCCCTGGCTGAGGGAAGGAGGTTCTCACCCAAGATTTGACAGTACATGGCCCCGTCCATCGTCGCTTTGATGCGGTGAAGTTGTCCTGTCCCCTTAGCAGAAACACACCCCCAAAGCATAATGTTTCCACCTCCATGTTTGACGGTGGGGATGGTGTTCTTGGGGTCATAGGCAGCATTCCTCCTCCTCCAAACACGGCGAGTTGATGCCAAAGAGCTCGATTTTGGTCTCATCTGACCACAACACTTTCACCCAGTTCTCCTCTGAATCATTCAGATGTTCATTGACAAACTTCAGACGGCCCTGTATATGTGCTTTCTTGAGCAGGGGAACCTTGCGGGCGCTGCAGGATTTCAGTCCTTCACGGCGTAGTGTGTTACCAATTGTTTTCTTGGTGACTATGGTCCCAGCTGCCTTGAGATCATTGACAAGATCCTCCCGTGTAGTTCTGGGCTGATTCCTCACCGTTCTCATGATCATTGCAACTCCACGAGGTGAGATCTTGCATGGAGCCCCAGGCCGAGGGTGTTCTGCAAGAGTGTTCTCCCTTTAAGAGTGTGCTCCTAATCTCAGCTCGTTACCTGTATAAAAGACACCTGGGAGCCAGAAATCTTTCTGATTGAGAGGGGGTCAAATACTTATTTCCCTCATTTAAAATGCAAATCAATTTATAACATTTGTTACATACGTTTTTCTGGATTTTTGTTGTTGTTATTCTGTCTCTCACTGTTCAAATAAACCTACCATTAAAATTATAGACTGATCATTTCTTTGTCAGTGGGCAAACGTACACAATCAGCAGTGGATCAAATACTTTTTTCCCTCACTGTATATATCAGATATAGGACAGACACTTCAGAACAAACTTCCTTTTTTATTTTTGTGGGGTTGACTATCTGTTCCATGTAGTGAATCTGTTATCCAACGTGTTTCTAATAGCAGTAATGTCAAATTCAATGTTTCATCCCAAGAAAATTGGTATGTATATGCTCGTCATAACTCACACTCCCAGGAACTTGTAGAGCCCTATAAAATGCATGAAATGTTTTGCTTAATTCAGTTTTTTCCCCCGTATTCAATTTTATCAGTTTAGTTCTTAAATTTTTTCGCTCTTTGTTTTCAAACATCAGATGTTCTAAAACCCTCAACAATGCTTAAACCACATCGGGAGACAACTTTTGAGGTCTGGGAAAAATTGAAGACATTTGCATTTTTGGTTGTAGT